GAAGATACTGAAAAGATGTAGGCAGGATTTTGGAAATTACTTTAAAAAAATAGAAATTTTGAATAAAATTTATAATAAAATGCAATTTAGAAAAACCAAAAAGAAATAATAAGATAATCTAATAATCATATGTCTGGTAAGGGAATATAATGATAATCAAAACCTGTATAACCTAAAACTCTTACTAAATAGAGACAGAAGAAATTATTCTCATAATAAAGGATATCTACCAAATACATACAACAAATACTGGACCTGAAGTTAAAATTTTCCCATTGAGACCAAGAGAAAGATGTCCACCACCTCTATACATTATTGTACTGGTAGTCCTGGTGGGTGTGATAATGCAAAATAAATATATATGTGCATACACACATGCATGTGTACCTACATACTGGCATGCATATGTGTATATAGACACATTTTTTAAAGATCAAGGATTTAAGTAGAATATATGAAACTCATTTGCATATAATGTGAGCATGCAGATAGTAAATTGGAAAGAATATACAGGTGAATTACTTTAATGTATGATTTCTATCAAAGTTGCTCAATATAAAGTCAATAGAAAATCACTTGTATTTCTAAATACAAGTAATAAATAGAAAAAATACCATGTCTAATGATATAAGAAACTGTCAAATAGAAATATATCTACTGAAATGTGTAAACCTCTATATAGAAACATCTACTACATTATTGAGATAAATAAGAAAACAGAATGAAAAGGCAATCTTTGAAATGGGAGAAAATGTTTGCAAATCTTATGTCTGATAAAGAATTAATATTCAAAATATAAAGAGATTAGTAAAAACTCAACAATAAGAAAAACCCGGTTAAAAAGTGAATAAAAGTAATTCTGCAACATCTTTTTATGTTGGCAGATAGTAGCTACACTAGTTGGAGTGAACATCTAATTATATAGGTGACTGTCAAATCACTAAGTTGTATACACGAAATCAATATAATATTGCATATCATCTATACTTCAGTTTTTAAAAAATGGATAAAGGATTTGAATAGACATCTCTCCAAAGAAGGCATACACATGGCCATTAACTACATAAAAAATGTTCAACATCATTAGTCATTAGGGAAATACAGATCAAACACACAATAAGATACCTTCACACTGGCTGTGACAACCATAATTTTTTTTTGATGGAGAATGACCATTGTTGATGAGGATGTACAAAAAGTGTGCCCTCATGCATTGCTGGTAGGAATGTGAAGGGGTGTACCCGCTGTGGAAAACAGTTTGGCAGTTTCTCAGTTACACACAGGATTACCATATGACCCAGAAATTCCACTCCCGATATATACCCAAAAGGAGAGAAAACATACTTTCACTCACAAAAAAGCTTTCCAATGAATGTTCATACCAGTATTTTCATAAGAACCAAATGTGAAAGCAATCAAAATGTCCCTCTGCTAAGGAATGAATAAACATGATGGGCTATAGCCATTGAATGGAATATTATTCAGCAATACAAAGGAAGAGAACACTGTATGTGCTACACATAGATGGACCTTGAAAACTTCATTAAGTGAAATCAACTAGACACAAATATCCACATATTGTATGATTCTATTTGTATGAAATTTCCAGAATAGGCAAATTCATAGACTGATTAGAGGGCACCAGGGAAGAGTATAGGGGAAAACAGGGATTGATTGCTAATGGATATAGGTTTTCCTTTTGAGGTGCTAGAAATGTTCTGGAATTTGTGGTGATTTTTACACAACAGTATGAACATACTAAAAACCACTCAATTGTACAACTTAAAACAGTGAAAAATAGGTGATGGGATAAAGAGGCACAAACTTACAGTTATAAAATAATCCCAGGGATGAAAATACAGCATAGGGAGTATTTTCTTAAAATGACATTTATGTCAATGAAGGACAAGGAGGAAGGGCCTACCAGATATCAAAGTATGCTGTAAGGTTATATCATGTAAAATAGTGTGGTAGAGACAAATAGTTAAAAGGAATACATTACCATCTAGCGACAGTCAAGCATTTATGGGTACTTCAAATATCAAAACTTACATTGTTGAACAGTGAAGAAAGTGAGATATCATCAACAAATTTTGTTGAGTCATTTTGGAAAATAATGAAATTTTGCCCCAACCTCACACTGAGTAAAACATTAATTTCAGGTAGATTTTTAGATTAGATATGAGAGGCAAAAGGACATTTGCAAAGCTTTCAGAAGAAAATAGAGAAGAACCTATGTGGACATTTTGCATAATAAACTGGACACAAAAAGAAGGAAACATACAGAGAAGGATAAATTTGAGCACAACAGAATTAAGAATTAATGCTAACGAAAGGCACAGTAAGTGAGTGAAATGGTGAATCATGAAGTGGGAAGTATATTTTCACCACATATGACCAATGACATGGTCATATCAGGCATATATAAAGCATGTCCACAAATCAATAAGGAGAAGACAACCCATAGATAATGGACAGGAAAATTGAAAATTATCTTCTTAAATAAACACATATATAAACGTACATATACATATTCATGTATATATATATTTACAATACTACAGAATAATGTAGATTAACTCTAGCAGCAATGAGACAACACAAACATGCTACTAAGGGAAAGAAACTAGACATAGGAGAAAATATAATGTATGAGTCTGCTTATATAATGTTTAAGACAATATGAAACTAGGATCACCAGAATATCTGGACACAAACAAACACACGTAATAGTTTATCGAGATTATATTACACATGTCCAGTGACACTTCATGATATCCTCGAAGGACTGTCGTTCTCTGGCAATGTATAGACAACATGCTGTGCAGTTTATGATGGTGTGACACTGAAGCTGTCCTTCCACAAATCCCTGCATGTGCCTATGTGCTGCATCAGATCGTTTGTTTATTTGAACTGTGCTTTAGTATAACCCACAAGAAATAATAAAGTGGGTTCAAACTGTGCATATATGTGTATATGTACATATTCTGTGTATGTGTTATGTGTACATATGTGAATGTGTGTTTATGCTCTGTGTGTGCTGTATGTATACATGCTGTGTGTGTGTGCATGCATGCATGTGTACATACACAGTGACAGAGCAGGCTGTGGGCTTCTATATATTAGTATTTTCTTATACTCGATCTGACTGGTGATTATGTGAGCATTCACTTTCTAACTGAACTGTGTTTCTGTACACACATATTTATCCATATATATTTATAGTTTTTCAAGTTTCTTGCATGGTTTATAACTCACAGAAAGGAAATAAGTTAAAATATGGGAAACAAAGAGAAGATACCAGATATTCCCTAAGACTGTCATAAGCAGAACTAAGATCCAGGGGACAGAAGCTTCCAGGAGACAGATCACCCACTTTACACCTTGGAAGCCAGGCTAAAGAATGAAAGAGCTCTCTCATGATACAACAAACTCCTTTGCTTCCTCCTCTCAGCTGAACTGTTCTTCAATGATTCTAGGCCCTAGAGAAGATACTTTAATAGATTCTTTCTGGGTGGATTGTTATCAATTAGGGGTCCAGCCTTAATGGGAATAATTCTGACCAGGAACCTAATTTTAGTGTTCTGAGAATAAGGTGCAGACACAAATGCACACAAACCATGCACACATAGTGTCAATTCCACTGTACATTTACTCTCTTTCTCATTCAAAGAAAGATAATGTGTTTTAATACTCACACAATATGTAATTTCAAAGTTGATCCTCAAGGCAAAAAGAAAGGGTGGTCATCAAATGTTTAAAAAAACTATTTTATTTCATAATAATAAAGGTTAGAAGTTCAATATTTCTGCTCAAACACAGAGGCAGCCAGGCATATTTACAAAAGGCCTGACACTGTTTGCCATTGCCTTTATACAAGACAACATTTATAAAACCTTTGCATCCCATGACAGGGGCTACGTCTTCTCCTGGGTGTTTCTGCTCTTCAGATAATGCCTTTCATTTGAACTTCAAATATCTTTTAAAAATAGAAGCTGCATTTTAATGTAATTTGGAAGTTGAAATACTCTTATTTTTGTCACTATAATATCTTTATGGGTTTACTTTTCAAAAATGAGTCAAAGCCGAACAAATTACTGTCTGGTAGACAGTAAAAGGCAGAAAAATAGGAACAGCTTAAAAAAGAAAGTTTTGGTCTGCCTTGCCTGCAAGAAAATTAAATGTATGTAATAAATATTACATTTCAAGTATAATTAATGATAATAATCTCCCTCCTTTTGAGAATTTAGAAAATGAACATGAGTGTCATGGCCACCTAATTATAGGCATGCCTCATTTTATTACACTTCACTTCATTGTGCTTCACAGATACTGCATTTTATTTTTTTTATAACTTGAAGGTTTGTGGCAACCATGCATCAAGTAAGCTTATTAGTATCATTTTTACAACAATATTTACTCATTTTGTAATTCTCATGATTTTTCAGACTTTTTTATCCTTAGTATATTTCTTACAGGAATCTGTGATCAGTGATTATGTTTCACTGAAAACTCAGCAATGGTTAGCAATTTCTAGCAATAAAGTTTTTTCACTAAGGTATGTCTTTTTAGGCATAATGCTGTTGCACACTTAATGGACTATAGTATAGTACAAACATAATTTTTATGTACACTGGGAAAACAAAAAACTCATTTGACTAGCTTTATTGCAGTGGTCTGAAACCTAACCTGCAATATCTTTGAGGTATATATATATATAATTGGAAACATATTTTCAGGAGCTAGACAACATTCCTTTCTTTGCTTTTTATAATGGCACAATATGAGAGCAAATAAACACTTTGATTTAAGTGAAAAACATTTTTCATCCAGGAAAATTATTTCCTAAAATATTTTCATCAGTTTGCAATACTTGTAAATATAATAATGTTGTAGATTTTTACAATTTTATTGTGTATGTATATATATATATATATATATATTTATAACAAAACTAAAATACATGTTTTTCTGTCTCCTTTATTATGTTTTAATTAGGCTTGGACTCCTGGATCATCTGGTTACTTCAAGAATCTGGTAAGACTCTTTTTGTAGTATTATCAGTATTTTTATTTCCTCTGCTACAAATCATCAGAGTATATTTTTCTCCCTGTCTCGGGCCTAATCCTGTTTCTTAATGTTCCCGTCATTTCCATCTCCTGTGGTGCAATCTCCTAAAGACAGTATAAGGAGGTCAGTTACATTTTAACCCATTTAAAACTGTCTGATAAATCTAGATACTACTTAAGTTTCGTTAGGCGAATATGCAAAAGAGGAGTAGCATTTATTTGAATTTTTAAAAAGTTTTTCTTTGCCCCAATGTTGGTATTATAGTTTATCTATTATAGAACTTGAAACACACCGAAGGCACTCCTCTTTTCCCAATGGAAACTCTGAAAATTCTTAAGGAATTTTCCTGGTACATACCTTATAGGCATAAGAAAGATATAATATAATGTTTCATTTAAGATTACTGGTAGAGGTAGAAGTTTTTTCTATTAAACTGTATTTTTCCAAACATCACCTCATGTGTTCATCTTAGAACCTACTCAGTCCTTTTTTGCCTCTCCAAATATTATTGAAATACTACTCATATTCAAATTCATATATTGGATCCTACTCTACCCTGAATTTATGCAGGATTATAAAACTTATACCATACATCATCTTGTTTAAATTTCTAAAGAATACTCTAGTTTGGTTCTAATTCTTAATTTGGAAGTCCTCAATTTCCCTGATTGCTAGGATCAACTTTTCTATAATACCCAGCCAAGAGCAATGTGCAATTTCAACTTGATAGATGGCAGGAGTACTGTCTTCCCATTCTTTACTAACCACTGATTACCGCAGGGTGAGAAGGGGAGGGTGGTGAGAGTCCAGCATGTCTGTTTCTGTGTGTTATCTGTCCCTCCTAAATGCTTCTCAGGGTTTCTCAACTAATATCTCCTGGTCATTTAATGACTTTTCTGTGCTGCTCAGGCCACCCCAGTCTATATCTGCCTAAGGAGCAAAGTTGACAGTAAGCTGTCATCTTTAAAAAATATTATTGAAGACTTGAGGTAAAGCTACAGAAATACAACACACAAAAGGAAAAACTAAACTCATATGCCAGGTGTTATTGTCCTTAAAAACGACTACACCGTGTATGCCTAAAGGGGTTTACAATCTCTCTTCTCAGTATCAACACACTGGTGTATTGTCAGGACCTGCATCCCTCCCAGCAGAATACATGTTGGCATTCTCTGTGTTTGATCTAGCCACTTAGGTGAAGAATACATTAATATGATAATAATTAGGATTTGACCCAACCTACAAACAAAACAGACTTCTCTTCGTTGTGCAGAACAGTTTGTGCTTCATCATGTAGACTTTTGCTAGCGGTGACTAGGACTCTGTGTTCTTTGGATTGGGTTGTACTGAAGTTACTCCGGAGAGCAACAACAAAATCTACTCACAATCATAAATTCAGTGTTCCATATTTAGCCATAAATAGGAGCAACAGAAACTTGAAATTTGTATTCTTCCTCAAGAATTTCTGAAGTCCTGATCAAGTTCCCAGCTACTGTTCATTCTCAGGATGAGAATGAGAGCTGGCTTCCAATCCCTTAAGCACTTTCTGCAAATGGAAGGTTTTGCTTAAGCATTGTTGGAGAAAAGGCTAGACATGGAATCTTACAGATAGCAGAAATTTTATCTTCCCATTTCCAGCATAACAACTCCTAAAAATGGGGGGATTCCCCCCCACCCATTCTAAGCCTTTCCTTAATTGCCTGTGGTGGGATCAGGACCTTCCTCATGTAATTATCTTTTTCCTTTGAGCTCCACCTTGCTTCCTCATTTAAATTGGCACTGTGCTCTTCCAATTCTGATCAGCACAAATATCTCCTAGGTCTTCCTCCACCTTCTAATCTATCTAATTTCAAATCCATGTTTCACGAAATGGACAGGAGACTCAGTCTAAAACAATATGTATTCTCATACTCATATATCCCACCATGTTTCCTATATATATTTTTCCCTACTCTGTTATATAAGATATAATTGAGTACTGCCACACATATTTAAAAGCAGTGTTCCTTGAGTACATATCACAAAACTCATAGCTGATCAATTTTGGTCAGTTTTTTCCTCTGCTGGCCCCCTTTCGTCACTATTTCTATTTCTGTGATCACAGTGATCTTCCCCATCAGCCCATACATCCATTTTCTATTCATCTGTCAAAGCCAAATTAAACTCCCATTTTCTTCTGGAAGTCTTCATTGTTTTGAATATTGTAGTTTGATATCCTCTCTCCCTGAACTCCTTATTTTCTGGCTCAAACGTTTACCATTTTATCTTATGCTGTCATCTGTTCTAAGGTTCTTGTGCGCATATTTTCTATCAGTAATTCGCAAGTTTGTTAAATGAGGTAACAATACCATTTTGTGCTGTTTATTACAGCATCGCTAACATATTACTCTGTGTTTAGTAGTTCCTCAAGAAATATTTTCAATTGACTTATTTAGGATCTCTACTACAGTTATAAAGACCTAAACTAAAACATAATTTCTATAATCATTGTATCCAATTATGATTTTCAAAAGCAACAATGACATGTCATGTGGATGATAGTTTTATCTGAAACAAATTCTGCATTATATGATACAGTTTAGAAAACTGTTTTTAGAATGTAATTTGGAGAAAGAAAAATAAATGTAAATTTCAAAACAAAATAGTATTAAAACATAAATGATAATATGCAAACTATTACAGAGTAAGTAGAGTAGTAGAGTATGTATTATTCAATTATAACTCTCAAGCTAAAATATAGATGTGTATATTATATATATATATATTCACCCTGGAACTAAATTCCAGCAATAAAAATTTGCTTCAATATGAAGAGCTAATGTTGCTCACATTTAAGAGGAAAATATTTACAGAAAATCTTATTGCAGCATTTTTCACTTATATAAGATAATGTGCTTAATGCTCACGATTCACTGAATTTTCTGTGTGTGCAATTGCAGCAATCTGTTCCAATTCATAACTTTCATTTTCTGCACCTGCAGTTTGGACCTTTTAAGAGGTCAAAATAGTAACGTGCACAATTATGTACAGTTGAAGGGAATTTGTATTTTTAAGTATTCACTACACATCAGGTGTTTTGCTAGGTGCTTTTTCTATCCAGTTTAATTTTAACCTTCCAGCCACTCTTTGAGGTATGCATTTTGGTCACCACTTTAGAACTGAAGTGAATAAGGGTCAGCCAGGTTAATTACTTCATCTACAGTCAGTTAATCATGATCATGAGATTTCCATATATTTTTAGGACTCTGAAGACTCCACTGAGATGCCTTCCCAAAGAAAACTTACCCCAATAAGCTTTCAATAAAACCAAATATACATATATAAGGAATAATTACCCTGATCTGCAGTCATTAAGAAAGTTGATCTATGTGACTTATCTTTTGTACTTATACCGTTATTTGAGACGATGAAAAAGCCTGCTTGCTTTAAATCCAAGGGGAAAAAATTATTGGTCTATGCCCAAATTATGTGTGTATTTTATATCATATATATCTTCTATATCTATATATTTTTATATCATATATATCCTTTTGATCATATTTATATATCTATCATATATATCCATCATTGATAACCAAAGCAGAATATGTGATAACCTACATAATTCTCTCAAAGCTGGATAATAGTGATTGATGAATGCTTCATTCTCTCATTCATGTTTTGTTTTTTAATGCAAATTTTATGTAAGTTTGGCTATCCTGAATTTTTTAAAAAGTGTTATAGGCAACCTGAAAATTACATTCTTGTGCTTAGCATTAGTCATGGAATTTCTTTAAAATAATATGTTATTTAAATAAAGTATTGAATTTTCCAAGAATTGAATATTATCTCTGATATAGAGGGCTTAAAAATATTTCTTGGATATATGCCAAAATATTCTGATGTCATTAAATACTCTTCCCTCAAAAGATAAATGTTTAGTGTTAAAATACTGTATGTTTTCTAAGGTTCTGCTGTGTGTAAAAACTGAAGGTGACAAGCCATACATATATGCCTACCTCACAGTTCTGATTTGGGAAACATATGAAAATACTTCATAAATTTTAAAACAATATACAGTTATTAAAATTATTATCACTGTTAGTATGTTATTCTGATGTAAATTGTCATGATGTAAATATACATCATATGTTCAGAAACCAAAGAAGGAATCATACTCTGTGACTCATCTATTCATCCATTCTCTGACTATTGAGTAACTTAATTGTGCAGACTAACTGATGAAAATTTAAATATTGCATGATGTGACCCCAATGTTAAGGACCATCATTTCATATATGCTGCATAACTGTGGTGCTTTTTATTTTTTGTATTTAAAAAATTGGTATTGACTAAAATCATAAGTATTTGTTTTAGGTGTTTCATTTTTTCCCTTTACCTTGCTGAGATAGCAAGTTATTAGAAGCCATAGGATTGTGTGAAAGATGTTGTTAGTGCACATCAATATCTGGGTTTCTTTTCACTCTTGAGCATAGGAAGTTTGTATTTTCCCTCCACCTTACAGTTAGATGTGGTCATGGCATTGCTTTTGGCCAAGGAGAAATGAAAGTTGAAATGTATCACTCTGGTCATAGGAGGTAAAAATCCTCTGTGCTTTTCTAGTCTTCGTCTGCCTCTGCAGAGGAGGCATCAGTTTGAGATTACAAAGTTGCAGGGTAAATCATCCTGGATTCCTGAGTGACATATTGGAGTACAGTTCCTGTGGCAGTCCCCCAGTGCCACAGCAAACTGGTAAGAACAAGAAGATAAAATCTTTTGTCGTAAGCCACTAAGTTGATTTTTGTTTCTTATAGCAACATAAAGCCTGCCCAAACTAATCAAATGGTTCTTGGGAAAATAGGCATTGTAGCATTTGGGTAATTCTGAAATCTGAAGTCATACTTCCAAAGATATAATTTGGCAGTAGTGTTTTTGATTTTATTCATCCTTTCCACACTGTCACCACATCGTCTAAGGTACTGCTTATT